GAAAGCAGCTCACAAATCGTTCTCGGACAAGTGTTAGCGACATCCACTCTTTGCAGCCGAACGCCTTGCAGCACAAACTGACATTATTGATTTATGAAAATGTCAGTAATGCAACCTGATATCGCCATTTAAGATTGTGCTCACCATATGACTGGCGTACAGGTGGTGTTTGCCTGTAAAAAAGGCCGAAGACTATTTTTTTTGTAAACTTTGAACCTAATAAGAATTCGACGAATGCAAAGTTAATGTCGACGTGAATACAGTCGGCGCTGTTTAAACGCAGCGTTTAGAAACGCGTTGTAACTGTTGACTTAGACTGAGGATTTGAAGACTCAGCAGCATAAATATTCCATGTCATCCTTTTTCCGCATCTTACTGGAATCCAGCACACATTTTTTAACTTCTTAGGCATATCGGGAATACCTGAGAAGATCATGAGTTCCGGTGTGTTTTCGTAGTCACCAAAAACTTTTACACAATTAAGAGGAAGTTGTAGGCGATTTTTACGGTTATTAATTTATTTTGCAAATCCCTTGGGCTGTGGTTGAGAGACGTGTTGAACTGAACGTGTATCCACAACAAGCATTCCTTCAAAGCTACTATTAAAGAGCCACGTCACCAGTCATTTAACCCAATTTGATACACGGCACTTATAAGCTATTTCGTCAGTTCCGTCTTTAAATTCCGATTTGAAAGTTAGCGAAATGTCAACATGACGCGTGAAGATCAGGAAGCATGTATTGGTTTACAGGTGTGTTCAGTTTGAAGTGTGTTGGCAGGTTCTCAACTTTTTAACTGATTTTGCCAATTCGACCTGTAGACAATTCAGAGGCAAGGTGTGACTAGTTAGTGATGACGGCAAACTTGTCATGCTTCCATCTGATTTTCACTTTGGATGGACGAAATTGCTGCAGAGTGCAGGCTTAATGAAATGACAGTTTGGTCCTTGAAATGCTCCAGAGATAATCACAGACGGACGGTAGGCATGGTTTTAGGGAAATGCAAAATTTGCGGGAAATGTGGCTGACACGAGGGGGTTAAGAGCATGCAGTTAAAGTTGTATCATACACCGGCATCAATCATGGTGATTGGAGACAATCAGTTTGGCACGAGACTGTTCCCTTTGATCAATTCGGTTGCTAGGCTACCTTGCTGAATTTGATAAAGTTGTGGACACATATATTTCCAAGTATGGCGGTTGTTAACTGCACTAACCTACGACTATGCATAAAATACATTGTTCGTTTTGATAAAAAGGTGATGTTGTCGAATTGGTACTGATTTCAGCGAACTACTCAAAAACTCCATCACGTGTGTTTGCGATTTATAAATTTTGAAACTGATGTAAAAAATCCATTTACCGCCATTGTTGACGAAGATCCTCGTTCCAGGAGATTGGCATTTGTATTTTCAGCAATAGGCGGTCGACCGACTTGTCTAAGATTGCAAACAGCGTCCGTATTCCCAAATCGAGTTGTTCAATACATAGTGACATCTGAAGACTCAGGCGTTTTCGGCTGGCAAGGAAGTGCCACAGTGTTGATAAAGCAATGACTTATGCCCCCCAATTCGGATGAACTGATATTTCAGGGGCATTTTAATGCATTACTGTTTTTTGCAATTCGTCTCTGTGAAACCATTCTTCACTTAATGCACCACTGGCGGTAAATCACCATTGTTTGTGGCGTCATTTGCACAGACAACCAGCTACTCTACAGCATTGCTACACAAATAGCAGACAGAAGTGTTGGCATTGGAGTTGAGGAGGAGGAATTGAGGAATTAAAGAAAAAAGCTGAAATTAACAGTTACTTTTGCAAGTTACCGGTTGACAACGTACCTGTCCTCTGTTTATCACCACACCATGACGCTGTTTTAGCCATAGTGACTGATGCGTTGATGTCTGTTGAAAAAATATTCGGCTTGGAGTCCACGATGGCTGTTTGAATTAATTCCATTGCCAATCATGCTTTCCTTTTCACTGCCACCGCTGCATTCCCAGTTCGTCAAATATTTCTATAGGTTCTACTGATTTAAATAAGTAAAAATATACTGAAACTAATTTACTGACGCTCGAATATCGCTACAAGCCTTTGCATACTCGGAAAAAACCCCACATTCACTGGTCCTGTTATTGCTCAAGCCTCGTCAAGTGTCCATTTGGCTGGCATATATTATTAATTACATGATAAAAAACTTTATCTTATTATCTTCGAAGAAATGGGCATTTATTGACCTCTAATACAACCCGAAATGTCTGTATAGATATCCAAACAGTGATGAATGATTAGTGAATGGCTAGTGAAGAGCGCATTTGCTCTCTGCATCTTGCAAATGCCTGAGTGAAATTTACAAATTTCAACATGTTTCAAATGCATTGCCATCCAAAGTACCGTCAACTTGTTTTACCAAAATGCCACACAGTCGTTCGTCGTTTAGCCAAAAGCTGACAGTTTAAATCGCTCCTCAGTTTCATGGTTTGATTCGTCATAGCATGCCTTCGCCAAAAGTTAATTCCACGTAATTTTAGTCTTCCACACGTCAAGTTTTGGTGACTGTGCATACAGCCAATTATCCTGCGTCAAATTATGACCCTGAATAATCTCTGAAATATACGCAACCGCATCTGAGTGATTGCGCGAAACCAAGGTAACAACTGATTTTGCTGAGCCTCGATGTAATCCCATTTACTAAAATATGGCTAGATCAGCTTTTTTATGCCACGTGGACATCAAACCCCGTACATCACGCACAGCATGTTTCGAAACCTCGTCGTCGTTTCCCGACAATCAGTACAGTTTTTCTTGAAAATCCCTTGTCGATGTGGTGTTAAATGGCAATTGTTCCCAAAGTTAGTGTGCTGCCGAAGTCGAAAATTTCTCTTTTGTAGCATGAATCGACAGCCACTGTTCCCTCGTCAGCTGTTCCCACACAACTTCTACAGGTCTGACACTGCTAACGAAACACCAATCATGGTATTTTGCTTTAATGCTGTAGCATCTCTTTGTTAGACGGTTATATTTTCCTCAAATGAGTAAATAACTATTCACAAAGACCTGCACACATGACGCACACCAAGACGGCTGACCACAGATCCTGCACATCACGATTGATTTTTCTCTGCTCCCGGAGAGAGCTCTCTTGGCACAAAACTGTAATTTGGGGGAAAATACAGCATCCTGTTAGCAAAATGGTGTGAAGATAAACTGTCAGAACTGCCTGAACTTTGGCTGACAGTTGAATGAATTTTTAGCTGCGTAGTGCTCGAGATTTCAATGATCGCCAAATTGGGCTTAATCATAGTGAAAGTTGGGTGTTTCTACTGTTTTGATCACATGATTAAAGTAAAATGGAAAGATTTATCGAAACTGACTTGGTCCCCAAGTTATTGCAATAACTTTGAATTGCCATTAAATTAAGATAAAAATAATTGTTTCTTTTATTCACAATTTCAAAAAAAGTATGAGGCTTTAAAAGAGAGGCGTTGAAAATTAAATGGAAGCTTCTTCATCTTCTTCGTCATCTTCGTCATCGTTTTCACAATCGTGGTGCTTTGTCTTAACGCACTTTCTGTGTTCCTCATCATCGCCATCATCTTGGTCTTTGTCATTCACTTCGACAGTATCTTCATCGTTTTGATCACCATCGTCTTCTTCATCTTCATCGTCCTTAACATCCAATTCAACGACATCTTCATCGTTTTCATCACCATCGTCTTCTTCATCATCATCGTATTCTTCATCTTCACCATCTGTAACATTTACTTCAACGACATATTCATCGTCTTCATCATCATC